CAGGCTGTTGGGATCATAAATGTCAATCTGTCAGGAGACTGTGATAGGTTCTAAAAAAACTGATTGAGTACCTCAAAAGCTGTCATAGAGCCTGAGATTAAACAGATTCATCTTTCTTTCTTAGAAGTGAGGGAAGGTGTGGGTGAAGTGAATAGAAGGCTCCCTTCTCTTTGTTGCCATGGTGCTTCTCCCACTCTCCTAATCTCTGAGGATTGGCTGTGCCAAGGGCTGAGAGCTCACCTGAGTTGTCAGAAGGCCACAGTCGGTTAGCAGCCCCGGGTGTGCGGGCTGCCAGCTGCACAGTGACGGGAGATTAAGAGAGATGGGGATTCAACTCTGACAGGCCTGACACAATTTATTTGGAAATTTCTGGGAGAGAACATGAGTAATAAAGACAAGAAAAGTGACAGTAAGGGACAAATGTGAATATCTGTCAGAGACAAAACAGAATTTTAAAAGAAATAGCTCTGTTTGTTGTCTCCAGTCAAGCTTTCCAGTTAAACTGTTTCTGAATTAAAAGTCTTACCACTATTTTCAGCGATTTGGTAGTAAAGTACAATTAGAAGAATTGCTCTCTTCAGAAGATTAATGCGTTTTAAATAAAATCACTGTGCTTGTTTCTCTGTCACAAATTAAGCACTAGCTACCTTCAAATCTAGGGATCTGATAGGTAAAATACTTTTTCAAAGATTTTTCTTTCTAGGGTAATCACATTATAATTCTTGATCAGACTTTCCTTTGTCTAGAAGACCTGATATGATATTATTCTCATTCTGTTAAATTTAGGCAGAGGAAGAAAGGGTCTAGTAAGTACCAAGAACTATGAACCTGGCATGGGAGTGTGGCAGCTCTTGTGTGGGTATATACAGACTAGATTACGTTCTCAAGAAAAAGCATACTGGGGGGAAGTGTGCTTTGCTGGCCCTTTATGAAAGATCTTAATTAGAAATCACTCGTAATTCCTGGGGTGGGGACAGTTTCTAGCTTGCCACTACAGCTCCGCCTGCTGCTAATGAGCATGCTCCTTGCGAGGACTCGTTTTTTCTGACAGTTAAAGCTGCGTGTAAGAGTTATTTCTGTTCACTTTTCTCTCCATATTTAACCCTTGCTGCCCAGGTTCAGATTAAGCAAGTAGATGGTTAGGTGTTTTCTGTCGTTGTTGAGGAAATTAAAAGTGCTGCAGGGTAACAAATTATGTTTGTGAGCAAAAAGTAAAGAATCAAAGTTTGATTTATTCGAATATGGACTGTAGATGAGTATTCCTTTGTGTGACCATGTTTGGATCTTTTTTAATGGACATAAAATTTATAATTGAATAGTTGAATTATTTAGTTCATTATTATGTAATTAGAATCCTTGCCCTGGACATCTGTTTCTCTTATTTAGGCAACTCACCCCATGGCACATAGTTTCATTAAATAATTAGCAGAGGAGATGTAAATTTCTTATGCAGACATGATGATGATCCTGTAGACCGCTCTTTATTTCATTAACTTCTAATTGAAACAGCAGGTTGGCTTGTGAGAAAATGCCAAGGAATTGTTTGCTTCACCAAGAAGTGATGCATAACACAGTCACCTCCCTGGATGGCATCGAGTGGAGGATGGTGATGGTAAACCGTTTAGGGAGTTTATTCTCCCTCCCTCTTTGTGGTAAGGGCATTAGAGGGCACAGGATTCCTTTCCATTTAATAGACCCTGGACTGAGTGAAGAAGGTTAATTGGACATATTCCAGAGCGTAAAAGTTATGGATCTCTTAGGGACAGCTCCTTGATTCTAAAAAATAACATTCTGGTAAACAATGTGTGCCTCTTGGTTTAGAATCATGGGAGGACTGCTTTCCGTGGCTCAGATTTTCTGTATGCTGATGCGTTTGGTCTGAGACTTGTGCGCTGCTGGGACATTGACTCTCCGAGGGCTGACTAGCGCTGACAGTGCAGCCAGACGCTCTTGGCAGCATCAGAAACCTCCCTTAGGACCCATTATTTCAGGAATGTCCCGGGCCTTCTGCTACCAGAACAAATAACTCAGTAGTCTTTATCTATAATGTCAAGTGGATAAAAGAATATTTCAGCATGAGATCAAGCAGACTTAGTCCTTAGTTTTGTTATTGAATGCTCATTGGCCAGACAAGGTGGGGCATTAGAAGAAAAGAGATTAGGCTTGGACATGCCTCCTCATGTTGGGGGGCCCTATCAAGTGGGTGGTTTGGTGATGACCAATAATGATTATGTAAATATGAATTCTGTCTCCCAGTCTTAGGAATCATACATTTTAAAATATGTTCTTCATATATCATTCCCTGGCTTATTTAAGAAATGCCTATGGTAGCATTGCCACTGAAAGAAAATTGTCTTCTTGTAGCAAAGGTTTGCTTTAGAAATGGAGATGGTGCTATGCAGGTAGACAGCGAATTTGACAGTTTGGGACAGATTCATGTGAAAATTGGCTTTGTGAGTTCTGCATTTCTAGACACACTCGGTTTTATCAGATAGCAATGTGAATGACAGGCTTGTGGTCTGAGCACGCCTCTTTTATGTTAGAGGTGTACTGGCATTATGTCAGGGCCTTTTAAATTTTAACAATATTAATAAATGCCAAGCCAAGGATTCCACTGCCTCCCCTTCTCAGGTGGGCCCTTCTCTTCTCCACCCCGCCCACCGGGGTTGAGGGGTAATTTCTTATAAGGATGTTACAGATTTAGGACCTTGTCTCAGAACAAATACCATTTTTTTGTTATAGCTTTTACTCTAGAATTTTCTCTTTTTGTTGCCAAAAACGGGGGGCGGGGGGGGCAGTGGTGTCTAAATAGGATTATTAATACAAATAGCGCCATTGCTGATTTGTGAAAAAGGACCCCCAAAGAGCAGTGTGGCTCATGCAGGGTGAGTTCCTTTTGGCTGGCTGCTTTGTAATGATTTACATTTAGATTGTTGCTTGTTGCTCTTGTAGGGGAAAGGGAGGGGCCTGGTGTGTCTGTACCTGCCTCAGTCATCACACTGACTAGGTTTGGACAGCTTCTCTCAGCAGAGCTTGGAAATAGGCTGAACTTGCTTTCAATTGTTTTCATCAAAGGCCTTGTTTAGTTGGTTTGTATTTGGGGAAAATGTCATGTAGGACTGGAAGAACTAAATGAGATGAAAAATGAAGTTTACAATTGCTAAGAATAGTGCGTGCCTTCCACTTCCTTAAGTCAATGCACAGTGCCATGGGCTGGGGGGCTGTGAGTGAACTGTCACCATCCTCACTATCGGAACCAGTGACTGCTCTCTGATGAAGTGCAGCATCTTCTTCACACAGAGGGAGGCTGGGGAAAGGGATGCAGACAGCCTTCATTGAAATGCATCCAACCGTCTGCTGCTTCTCACTAGAGCCACTTGAAATAGAAAATCAGGACTGCCTAGGAGAAGATTCAGTCATTCAAGAAATATATATTGAGTTGTAGGCATGGAGGGCACATGAGTGAACAAAGCAGGTGAAACTTCCTGCCCTCCAGGAGTTTACATTCTCCTGGGAGATAATGTTAAAAGTGCTATGGGTGAATACAAGGGAAATGCTAGGGAAGGGGGGACAGAGTGGTCTAGATAGCATGATCAGGGAAAAAGACTTCATTGAACAGGGTGCTCACTTTGTAAGTTATATAAATGTCTAATCACTACACCTGAAACATAATATTGTATGTCAACTGTAATTTCAAAATACATTTAAAAAGAAAATGTGGCTTAAAAGAGGTTAGATCCCATATAGATCTGGGTGAAGAGTGTTCCAGACAAAGGGAGCAGAAAGTGCAAAGGCTCTGAGGTAAGAGACAATAAGGAGGCCAGTGTGGAGAGAGCAGAGGGAGAGAGCAGCAGGAAATGAGGTGAGAGAGATGAGAGGAGGGCACCTCAGGCAGGGACTTTTGAGGGCCTCACGTAAGAATCTGAACTTTTATTCTGAGAAGGGGAGCTGAGAAGGAAGGGGTTGTAGGCAAGGAAGTAATTCTAACTTGATTTTGAACTGGATCGCTTGGCTGTTGTGTGGAGAATATACTGTAAGGAGGTTAGCAGGGAGACCAGTTAAGCAGCTGTTTCGCTAGGCTGGGCGAGATGGTGATGAATTGGACCAGTGCTAGAGGTGGTGGAGGGGTGAAAAGTGGTAGGATCTGGATCTGTTTTAAGGAAGATCATCCAGGAGATTCCCTTCCAGAGGTGCTTTAGCACAAACCACTTCAGAGCCTTGGCAAGGGGTGCATCCTCAGTATGCAGTGGGGGCACTTCAGGAGCACAGAGCCCCCAAGTGCTGCCCTTTTTTGGAAGGCAAGAGTTATTTACAGCCTGTCTATAACATGAACTTTATTGCATTTTAGTTACTTTTTAAAGTCATGGGAAATACAAGTTCATTACACCTCCCTCCACCTGTCAATTTGGCACCAACCCTAGGGTGTGTTGTGGTACCACATGTTGCTTCTGTACCACTCCACAGTGGAGGCCCTGGGGCAGCTCTTTGATAAATAGGCAGGGATACACTCCTTAACTCTAAATACAGTTGAAATAATTCCCAATATTAGAAACTGATTCTTGTCTGTTTAGGAGTAGAAACATGAGTATTTTTGCTAGAAAAGATTATAGATACCCCATCAAACACTGGCTTTAAGTATGGAGTTATGCTAAACATGGCAATACAAAGAAGTACTAGACATAGTCCCTTCTCTAAAGAATTACCAGTTTGAATGGTCTCATAGAGACAACCATTATTAAAAACAACAGATTTTTGTGGAGCCACCCCCATTCTCCTCTCTTGGTTCAGATCTAGCTCATTAGAAGTCAGCCCTGAAGGTTCATGCTTGTCACACTTTGTGGAGTAGAAACCAGGCCAGTCAGAGCTGGCTGTTGCTTACACAGGTCCAATTCCTGGAAAAGGGCAGTAGCCTGGTCAGAAGAATGCCTGGCGCACATTAATCAGCTGTGCTTGCCAGGCCAAGCACTAACCCTGACCCCTAAATGTGTTGTTTTGATCAGATTCACAGTCTGAGAATGAGGCTTCGCCAGTGAAACGGCCACGACTACTGGAGAACACTGAACGATCCGAGGAAACCAGCCGATCTAAACAGAAGAGTCGACGTCGGTGCTACCAGTGCCAAACCAAACTGGAGCTGGTGCAGCAGGAATTGGGATCGTGCCGCTGTGGTAAGCATCTCCCCCAGGGACATGATGGAGACGGTGTCTCTGGCATAGCTTTGGAAATTATTCTAAGAGGCTGAACTCCTTTGTTCTTCTTCTGGAAACCTCCCTGAGAGCAGTAGGTTTAGAGTTTGAGAAATCAGGAGTAGAGGATTTTTAGTTCTAAGCACATACAAAGAAGCAAAAACACTCCCCATTATTTTGTCACATGTCTTTAGAGTTGCATTGTCATTGCTTACTGCTTTAACGTCTTCCATTGATTACTCTGGTTCCTTCTCATTGATGACTTATTTAGAAGTTAACCAAACCAGCCAAATTCTGGGATATGTACTATAAAATTCAGATAGTAAATTAATTCTGAATGAGCCTTTTACTATGTATAATAAATGCAAGATTTCTTCTCCCATATCCTTTTTAAATTAGTTTGATTAGAAAATTATTTTCTTTGAACTGTAATTCATTGTCACTTAACCCCTTGAATAACTTTAAGGTAGCCTCTTCTTCTGTATTATCTATCCAGTGTAATACCAACTCTTAGAATTGCTGCCCAGAGATGTATTTTTAAAAACTTTATGTGTACCCACATAGAACAAAACTTAGACCAATCACTCCTCTCCCTTCAACCACACGTAATTGTATAGCTGCAGCATTTAGGCCGACTTAGAGTTTTTCTGTTCCTGTTCTTATTTCCTGATTTAAAGCTTAATATTACAAAACTGTTCTATGGGACAGAGCTGTCACCAGGCCAACTTTGAGGCCTAGGTCTAGCCTCTGAGAATTCTATATCCTTGTCCTTAGGAATGAGCTTAAGAAGCTTCCTTTCACCCCTGGGATAGCCATAGATATTCTACAAGTACTGACGCTGGCAACCAGGACTAGATGGTTCTCTCAGCAGCTAGAAAGTTACAGGGACTCCAAGTCCTTTATCTTCTAAAGACGTAGCTATTGCTGCTCTTGTCCCTCAATCATCTGCTCCGTTGGAAATGAGAAGGAAACAAGGGAGTACTAGCTTCTCATGGAAACTAATTTGGAACTCCTGTTTCTGTCTGTCTGTTGCACACTTTTGTGTGTGTGTGGTGGGGTGGGGGGGAGTAACAAGATCAGAAGCATATATTCAACTGCAGAAATGGGACATTTGATGGCAGCATGGGGAGTCTAGGTGTCAATGGACAAGTTTTTATTTCTAGATTGGCATTTAGTTTTCTCCTAAATGCTTGTTTGAAAGTATAAAGAGGAGGGTTGGGTAAGAGTTGGGGGCAGAGGCTGTCAGCAGAGCTTTCACACTTCAGTTGTGTTCATGCATGTGGCATGGCCCAGGTGAGCCCAGAATTTTACTGATGGACTGCTCCTGGGTCAGCCCTCCCAGGTAATTTTAAATTCTTGATGAGGTAAGGAGGGAATACCATGGTAGCTAAGGAAACTCTGGGGCCTGATGGCTAACCACCTTTGCCCACATTGCAGAGTTCGATCTTTTGTCATGCCCTTTTTGCTTTGGTCTTCATGTGAACTATGGGGGGAGGGGGGTTTCAGCAGTTCAGTCCATTACCAGAGTTGCGAAATCTACTTGACCATTTTTGCCTGTTGCTTCTGTAACACAGACCTTTGGTTGTTCCTAAATTAGAATCATGAGATTTTCCTGTACCTTAATGTTCATTTTTCCTTCTGGAAAGTAACTGAATCCTGGGTACTAAAAAGGATTTGCTTTAGTGGATCAAGCAGTTGGTCCTTGCATGTTCCATCTTGCCTCTGTCATAATACCTCCTCTCCTTGTCAGGCCAGCAGTAAGAGTTCCCAGGTTAGTGCTGAGAAATCCAGAGGTGTTATAACCAAGTCTCCCAGCTTACCCTTCAGCTTGGATGCAAACCACCTATTTTCCTAAGGTCTTCTGCACCGCTAAAAAAAAAAAAATCTAGAAATATATCACATGCTTCTAAGTGAAGCCAACTTAATTGTCTCTGGTAAGCGTGGATTATTCTGTTGTGCTCTTCACCTCTTTGGATAGGAGGCTGATTTCTGAGTGCCTATTCGGTTTGCAAAAGACATGCATTCTTTTTAAAGGATATAATACCTAGTCCCTTGGCTTATGCCCAATTCTGAGGACCTGCTTATGGAGAGATTTGATTTTTCTGGTGGGGAAGAAAGTTCTGAGCTTTCTGCAGTCCCTCCGGATGTAGCCTTCCCAGAGAGAGCCAGGAATTCCATTTGGCCCACTGAGAGCATTACACTTCTGTGCCCAGAAAAATGACTGAGGCCACTGCCACATTTCAAAAGATGAAGGACAGCAGTGGGAACATACACCTCTGGGACTGTCTTTGACAAATAGCTGTTGTGTTCCTCCTGCCTGTCTGCTTGGATCTCTCCAGGAAAGGGTGAGTTGTATAGTTATTTCCTTGAGGATGCATGGAGTGTTAGAGAGACATTTAACTGCCCTGAAAGGTTTTATGGGGGTAGGGGGGCAGTAATTTACTACTGAAAGTGACGACTCAGGAAGGTAGTTTGAACTCAAACAGCACACTTCTCCACTGCAGAAAATGTTTTTATATATATTCACAATCTTTTTTTCCATTCCCCTTCAACTCTGTATAGGTTATTAACTGCTGACAAGAAATTCACATCTCATAAATAATGCTTAAGAGCCATTGCTATATAAATTGAATGTGTTATGAATTGTGATGGGCCTTTTTGTAGCATTCGATGCCTAGAGCAGGAAGAACAGAGGATGTCATTTTCATTAATTTCTAATGAGGTGCCAATTAAAGACAGGGAAGACGCTCCAAAGGGAAGAGTGGCCAAGCTCCCCTGAATCCTCTGCCCTGGGGCTGTCATCCAAACACTGCCAGCAAGCCTTCTCTAAAAATTCCATTAAATTACAGTCTCATGGAGCGCACACACAGACACATTCAGCTTCCCTTTGATCTTCAAAAGAGCAATTTGTAAGATGAGTTCGGAGCCTTCTCACATAGGGAACAGCTAGAGGTGGTAGGAATTGTTAATTGCCAAGGCACTCCATGGGCTTTCAATAAATAGATGAATTTTGAAGATGAATCCTCCTCTGCCTCTCTGTGACTAGATAACCTTTAAGTCAACAATACCAAAGCAACATCCTTTTCTGTAAAATCTTTCAGGATGCCAATTAGAAAAGGCATGTGGTGAGGCTGGGACTGTATCCTCCATCCTAGAGTAACTTCAACAGTTTAACTTCTCAAGATAGGAAACAGTTGCATAAAAATGGATTTATTTGTTTCATTTTCTATTCAGTAGGTAAATTGATCAGCTCATTGTCTTTATAGGAGTCTTGTCTTTCCAGATGCTACCTAGAGGGTGTTCTTCTGAAACCTGGCCATCCTCATCAAATCTGGGCCCATCTCCGCCACATGAATGCTGTGTTTTCTAAGCAGATCTTTCATGATACACACAGCATGGCTTTTTAATGGCTGTGCATTGCTTCCCAGAACCACAGAATTAATTTTTAAATACTAGTCCACTAGCTTACATAAGTTATTGCATGTTTTTAATGGATAGTGACTTAACAAACTGTAAGCTGATAAGATCCCTTTTGGGACAGCAGTGCTTTTACTAACCTGAGTAATCTGACTTTCTTTATTGCTTTTCAAATAAATTTTTTATTTACTTTAGAAAGTCAGAGTGATGCTTTAGCTGGGACCTTTAGAGTACTCATCTCCAAGTGCCCCAGTTCTCATTTCTGCCTTATCATTCACTGTCAGACTAAATTGAGCAAGCATTTATTGAGGTATGAGAATGCACAAAGCAATTTGCTAGGTTTTGTGGAACTATAGGAGCTGGATATACAGAATGTAGAAGCTCATAGTCTGGGTCAGTGGCTTCAAATTTTAGTGGGCATCAGAATCACTTGGAAGGTGTGGTAAAACAGAGTTGCTGGGCCCCACCCCCAGGGGTGCTAGTTCAGTAGGCCTGTGAATGTTTAACAAGTTCCCAGGAAGGACCATGTTTTGAGAACTGCTGTTCTAGGCACTTCTCAATCCTGGGAAGCTCTTAAAAAATAGAATATCTGGGCTTTATTCTAAACAAATCAGAAAAGGTTTCCAGGTATTGTCTTTAACTTTTTTTCTCCCTTTAGTTCTGTTTGTAGTTGCTTTATATATTTTGGTGCTCCCTGATTGGGTGCATATATATTGAGAAGTGTTATGTCTTCTTGATGTTAGTCTGTCCTTTATTATTATTTTTTTCTTCTTTCTTGGTGCCGTGACTCAGATCTGAACTGAGGTTGCTGTGATCACTACCCTTTATTAGTATGAAACATCCTTGTCGTTTGTTACCCTTGTTATCTTGAAATCTATTTTGTCAGATGTAGGTATGACTATTCCTGCTTTTCTGGGAATGCCTTTTGCTTGGAGAATCATTTCCCATCCTTTCACTTTGAGTCTTTGCAGCTTAGATGTGTCTCTTGAAGCATATGGTTGTGGGTTTTGTGTTTTGTTTGTTTTGGGGTTTGTTTGGTCCTCACCTGCGGATATGTTTTTATTGATTTTCAGAGAGAGAGGAAAGGAGAGAATGAGAAAGCAATATTGATGTGGGAGAGAAACCTCAATTGGTTGCCTCCCACACATGCCTTGGCTGAAGATCGAACCTGCAACCTTGGTATGTGCCTTGACTGGGAATAGGACTTGCAAATTTTTGAGCCAATTGAGCCACCCAGCCAGGGTTGGTTAGGTTTTGTTTTTTGATCCAGCCTGCTATTCTGTGCCTTTTTATTGGTGAACTCAGTCCATTTACATTTAGGATAACTGTTAATGTATGAGGATTTCCTGTAGCCATTTTATCTTTTGTTTTCTGGTAGCTCTGTGTCTCCATTGGGTCTTTTTCTTTGTGTTTCTGTCTTTTGTTTTTGTTTGGTAGTATTCCATACTTTTTCCCTCTGTTTCCTGTTTTGTTGTTGTTAATCTTCACCAAAGGATATTTTTTCCATTGATTTTTAGAGAGAGTGGAAGTGAGGAAGGGGGAGAGAAAGAGAGAAACACATTGATTGTTTGCCTCCCACACGTGTCCCAACAGGGGCCGGGAATGGAACCTGCAACCCAGGCACATGCTCTTGACCAGGAATCGAACCCATGAC